TAGTTTTAGTCGTAGTAGCAGTAGTAGTAGTAGTAGTAGTAGTAGTAGAAGTAGTAGTAGTAGTAGTAGTAGTAGTAGTGGTAGTAGTAGTAGTAGTAGTAGTAGTAGTAGTAGTAGTAGTAGTAGTAGTAGTAGTAGTAGTAGTAGTAGTAGTAGTAGTAGTAGTAGTAGTAGTAGTAGTAGTAGTAGTAGTAGTAGTAGTAGTAGTAGTAGTAGTAGTAGTAGTAGTAGTAGTAGTAGTAGTAGTAGTAGTAGTAGTAGTAGTAGTAGTAGTAGTAGTATTAGTAGTAATAGTAGTAGTGGTAATAACATTTGGAATCGTAGTGGCTGGGATGGGACCGCCTAGAGCGCAATTCTCAGAGAAAGTTGTATCCGCCGCGCGCGCGAGCGGGGCGGGCGCCCGACGGTGTGGGGAGTGAGAAAGGCGCACCGCGCCCGAAGAAGAACGCAACGTCCAGTAAAACTGAAGCCGCAGAAGGCCCCAGAGGGCCCCAGGCAGCACCAGGAGGCGTCAGGGAGCCGAAGGGGGCCCAGAAAAGGCCCCTGGAGGCCCCAGAAGGCCCCAGGACGCCCCAGGATGCCTCAGGAAAGTGCAGGAGAGGAGGCCCCCCCCCCGAGGCCGCAGGGAGCGCCAGGAGGCCCGCCCCAGGATGCCCCAGGAAGCCCGGGAAGCCCCACAAGACGCACCAGGAACCCCCAGGAGGCCCCAGGAGGCCCCAGGAGGCTCCAGGAGACCGAGGAGGCCCCAGGACGCCCCAAGAGCACCCCAGGAGGCTCCAGGCGACCAAGGAGGCCCCAGGAGGCCCAGAAAGCCGCAGGAGGCCACAAGAAGCTCCAGGAGGCTTCAGTATGCCCCAGGACACCCCAGGAGGCCCCAGGAGGCGCCAGGAAGCCCCAGGGGGCGTCAGGAGGCCCCAAGGAAGCTCCAAGAAGCCCCAAGAGGCCCCAGGCGCCCGACGAATTGGGGAGCGAAAAATGTGCGCCGCGCTTCGGCGGGAGCGTCACTTTCAGAAAAAATGCGCGCGGCGCCGAAGCGAGAGCGACATCTCGCCCTTTCGCGCGGGGTGTGCGCCGCGTCCCATTCCTGCCACTCATTTCGCGACGTGGACCACAAGACGTCCATGTTGAGAGGAACAACGTACATGTTGGAGTGTTTTTTGCAGGTTAGGATGGACCCTCCAGATTGGCGGGCCACAGGAAGCCACAGGAGGCCCAGGATGAATAAGGATAGGAGGAGGAGAAGGAGGAGGAGGAGGAGGGAGGACGACGGGAAGGAGGGGGAGAAGGAGAGAGGGCGAGAGGGAGAAGGAGGAGAAGGGAAGGAGGACTGAGGACCAATCATGCATCTTGCCATCGCTCGGACGTCCATTCCCCGTGCTTTTGTCGGCTTTGTGCGTGTACTTGTTGCCAGATGATTCAGAATGTTCCTTGATGGTCCTCGCCAAGCAAAACAAAATGAACACGTCCGAGCGGAGGAGGAGGAGGAGGAGGAGGAGGAGGAGGAGGAGGATAAAAGAGGAGGAGGAGGAGGATGATGATGAGGAGGAGGAGGAGGAGGAGGAGGAGGAGGAGGGGGGGGAGGAGGGGGAGGGGAAGGAGGAGGAGGAGAATCAATGTAAACCCAAGCACCATCAGCGATGTTTGAATAAACCCTCCCTCCAAGCTCCCTCTTCATAGGACCCTACAACGGTTCATTTCCACAGAGGAACCTGCCTCGTTGGAAGAACCGTTTGCAGACCCTGAAGCATGCCAAAACATTGTTCTCGGGATTCCAACGCCACGGATCAACTGGTCTGTTGCGTTTTGACGACCCTGAATTGTGCCAGAACGCCATTCCTGGGACTTCAACACCGTAAATCAACATAACTGTCGCACCCGCATGATCCTGAATCCTTCCAAAACGCAATTTCTGGTACGTTGATCATGGGAATCCGTGGATCCGTTGTAAGCGAATGTGCGCGGCGCTAAGGCAAGAGCCACAATTTGAAAAGGAACCCCCCTCAATCTGAGAAACTGCTGCATTTGTCTAAAGCGAATACGCGCGGCGCTAAAGCAAGAACCACATTCTGAAAACGATTCGCCCTCATTCCATGAAACTGTTGCAAATGCTTAGAACGAATGTGCGCAGCGCTACTGTGAAGCTGTTGCTAAATTTGACGCTTCAGAATCATAAGATATGAGGAAACCTCAGGCGAAACGCCCGGCCCGCTCTAAAAACTGGCCTCGGGGTGCGACAGGGAGAAGTTATTTATAAGGGAAAAAGGAATGGAGCGCGCCAACATCTGCGCGTCTGCCCTCTTCCGACGCTCACGCGGCCGCTCACGCCGCGACCAGGGTGGCGGCCGCCGCGGCCAGCAGAGCCAGGGCGCCGAGGCTGGACCGGAGGGAGCCGCTGCCATCCTTCGCGAAGTCGTTTCCTGTCGCCGCGGAGATCACGAGGTCCTCCTCGTGGCCATCTGCCTCGCTGCCGACGCGCATCACCACGTACCTGGTGTTGGCAGCGGCGTCCAGCTTGCGCTCCTTCAGGTGCTTGCCCTTCTCGTTGTTGATGGAGACGGTGTACTCTCTGGGGGGGATCGAGATGGACGCCCCCGCCTTGAGCTCGCCGCGCTGACGGTTCGAGCGGCTCGTGGTCTGGATGAACATGGTGTTGTTCACGCTGCCGACGTACGCGTCGATGACGGCCACCTGGCTCCCCTCCATCGAGTTGAACGCGTGGGAGGCGAAGGCGGCAGACATCGTCTTCGTGTCCTTGTGGAAGGGCACCAGCAGCAGGTTCGAGGGCGTGTAGGGCAGGCCGGCCGCGCGGAACGTGCCCACGCTGAGGCCGCCCAGCTTGAAGTCCAGCCGCTCGCCCTCGCCCAGCTCCAGCGAGATCAGCTTGCAGGCCTTGTACTCCAGGGGGTTCTCCGTGAGCTTGGCCTTGTTAGTCATCGTGTAGACACTGAGGGGCCTGCGGTCCGCGTACCCGTTGCAGATCGTCAGGTTGTGGGTGACGAGGACGTCGTCCTTCCTCTGCGCCAGGCCGGCGCACGTGGAGGCGAGGGCGGACAGCGCCAGCACGCGGGAGGCCGCCATCGGTGCTGGGATGGTGCGCGGAACGGGTACAGCCGGACCCAGGCCAAGAGAACATCCCTCAAGGACGCGAGACCCTCCGCCGACCCAGACGCGCAGAACAGGCAAGGGCAGCCTCCCCCCAGGACGCACCAGCACTTCCAGCAGGCACGACCACAACACGAGGGCACCCTCCCCGAGCCGACATCGATCGGATGCCTCGGTCCGACTGTAGTTATAACGTAAGGTCAGGGCGACTGCCAGATGCCTGTTTGGACACCCGAAATGGGTGCGGAAAGAATGGGCACTATGCCCAACAACAAATGTTGTCCCAAGCCAACAGCGGCCGCTGTTGGGCAGGCGGCCTTCTGTCTCGAATGGACACAGGCCGCGGCGGCGTGGACAGCGAATCCTGTGGAAAATGAACAGGAATTGTTTCTGGGCATTGTACCCATTCTTTCAGTACCCATTTCGGGCGTCCAAAGCCTCGGCAGAGACGGCTTGCGTCAAAACGGCTGTACGGATGGGGAGGAGGAGGAGGCAGGAGAGGCGGCAGAGGGGCGGCAGCAGAAGGGGCGAGGAGGGTGAGCGGAGAGGAAGGGGCCCCAGGACACACAAATAAATGCACACAAATAAAAGGATTCCCCACATTTTCCCACATTGTCTGGCTTTCTGTCTTCCCCCCCACTTCCCATATTTTCCCATATTTTCTGGGGGATCGAGGATCAATTGTGTCTGTGTGTTTCCTTTTCTCCTGAGGAGAGGAGGGGCGAGGGCGGACGACGAGGGCGAGGACGGGGACGAGCCATACAGTCAACCCGTGTACAGTCTCGGGTGCTGCTAGAAGTGCCCCTGGGGCAAGGTGCCCCCAGGATTTTCGGGGTAGCCCAGAGACGGCCTCCAAAGCACCCCTCATGAGGCCCCGAGGGCCCCAGGGGCTCCCAATTGGAGCGAAACGCTGGGGGCACCTTGGGCCAGGGGTACTTCTAGCAACACCCGGCAGTCGGACCTAGGTCAGAAGAGTATCCCTCAAGAACACGAGACCCTCCGCCCGCCAAAACGGAAGGACATCCAAGGGTACCCTCCCCCAGGGTGCACAAGAACATCCAACAAGCACGAAGAACATCAGGAGACCCCCCCTGAACCGACCTCGATCGTATACCTCGGCGCAGCTGTAATACAAATGCGGGGTATACGGATGCAAGAACCTTGGAGGGCCGGGCTGACGCTTTCCGAACGAGGCAGGCCAGCAAAAGTCGCCAAGGATGGGCCGAAGGGGCAAGGATACAAGGGTAGCCTCGGGAAGCTGCTCATCACCACTGTGCAGGTTGACTGTGCAGTCGGGCTGCTGAGATAAGGAACGCTACATGAGGAACGGAGCCCCTCTGTAGCCCCAGAGGAGCCCAGGTGCACGAGGAGGGGGGAAAAGCCACGGAGGGAGCTGAAGAACAGCGAGCCCCTTCCGAACCCAGAGCGGTCCTTGTTTCAGTTCCTCGACTGTGTGGATGATGAGGGGGAGCAGACTGGTCGCCACACTCACGCCGGGCGGGCGACTCACGTGAGGTTAGGGCCCCGGTGGCCCCAGGAAAGAGGGGGAGGCGAGGGAGAGAGGGGGGAGAAGGGGAGCGGTGAGGGGAGGGGGAACGGAGTTCAGAGGAAAGGGGGGAGGGTATAACACATTAGAACATGATGATCGCAGATGGGCAAACGAATTGGACCCCGACTCAAGCGCCCGCTCCTTCTCCCAAATTCAAGGTTGACCCCAAGGATGGCTTAGGCCCGCGCGAGTCGAACGTAAACTTTGAATTTTGAGGAGCAAAGGGGGGAGAAAACAAGGCCGAACAAGAAGGAAGTCAATGTGTCTGCTTGCTGGGGAGGGGAACGGAAGGGGGGATGACATCCCCGGAATAGCCCCCATCCGATTCAGCAACCGCGGCTCAGGCATGAGAGTTTCCTGGAATGGCGGGGTGAATTGGAGGCGATGGAGGACGTGGAAGACAACATCAAATCCCGCAGAGACCTAAACGAGACACCTATGAGGAGGCTGTCCCAGACAGGGCTCGATGCCACAGCTCCCCTCCTCACCTTTTCATGCCATCCTCCTCCTCCTCCTCCTGCTCCTCCTCCTCCTCCTCCTCCTCCTCCTCCTGCTCCTCCTCCTCCTCCTCCTCCTCCTCCTCCTCCTCCTCCTCCCCTCCTCCTCCTCCTCCTCCTCCTCCTCCTCCTCCTCCTCCCTCCTCCTCCTCCTCCTCCTCCTCCTCCTCCTCTCCCCCTCCCCATCCTCCTCCCCTCCCCCTCCTGCTCCCCCGTCCCCCTCCACCTCCACCTCCCCCTTCTCCTCCTCCTCCTCCTCCTCTCCTCCTCCTCCTCCTCCTCCCCCTCCTCCTCCTCCTCCTCCTCCTCCTCCTCCTCCTACTCCTCCTTTGGACCAAATCCATATGTGTTAGGATTTCAACTTCGACCTGAACCCATTGCTCTGAGGCCCCCTGGTTTAGGACTAGATCAGGCTGTATATTGGTCTAGAGATGGGCTGCCCAAGGAGGTGGCCATGCAAGGTGAAGTTTTCCATGATGGCAGTGTTTTGAAACCTGGGCCCGCGGTGTTTGATGCCCCCGCCTGGTCCGTGGTCAAAATCGACGAGGACGGCGACCTGGTTGCCAGTCTCTCAAGCCCTGTGGGGGCCAGCCTTCCCCCCACGTCGCCCGCTGCCGAACACCTGGGGTTTCTAGTTGCTACGTCCTGCCCCAGAGTCACCAAAGCGTGGACGGATTTCAAGGGTATCCTCTCGGTGCACCGGAGCGCCGAAGTCTCACGTAAGGAAATGTACTCAGGAGTCTCAGTACTGGCCAGGTCCCAGAGCTGCTTTGCGTCCCTCGAGATCGGGAAAATCAAGGCCCACCAGGATCTGTCTTCCCTGGTGGTCGGCTCGAAGGACTGGTTTGTTGCCAAAGGAAATGACTGGGCGGACAAGGTGGCCAAACAAGCGGCCGCCAGAATCCCCGCCCCGTCCCAGAGGG